TGTGGGTGGTGTCAGATGCTTGCTTTCCCTCAGATGTCCTCTAGATGGCGCAAGGGGACCAGACATGAGCAGGTGTCCCCGCGAGAATTGGCTCACCTGCAACGTGTCTATCCTGGGATGGCCCGGCTGGCTGGCCCAAGTCCCCACGGCAACGTCACTGGGCTACCCCTAACCTGGGCCAAGGTGGGCTGGGAGCAAGGTTGGTGTGGGCCCAGCAGGCCCCGTGCACCCCACACCCAGGCCCTACCCCGCAGCTGGCCCAGGGTCTCTGGGCCTCTCCCCTCATCCCAGGGACTACCTGAAGGCAATGCTGAGGCCAGGAGCAGCCCCCACCCCTGACTGAGGACGCACTCCCAGCACCACCCAGCTAGCCCGCCAGCCCTTTCTTCCAAACACAGCTCTGCAAAGGGTGAGAAGGACCCCCTGGACGTACAAGGACCTCACACACACACACATACACACACACACACAGGGGCTTTGGGGTTCTGCTCTTCTGACAGAGGCCCGTCTGGGTGACCCTGTCTTCCCCCACCACTCTCCACGCCCACCTGGGCAGGCCAAGATGTCCGGGGCCTTCTCTTCTGCCTGCCTTGGCCAAGGCCCTCTTGGGGGAGTCCTGTGGTTATGGGCAGGGTGCGAGCAGGATGTGCTGAGTGTGAGTCTTTGCTCAGGTGAGTGCCGGGGAGGTGGGGATAGAGCTGGAAGCCCCTGTGTCCAGGCCACCTGGGAGCCAGCTGAAAGCGTCTGTCCCCTGCAGCTGGGCTGGGCTGGGGGGCCGGGTAGGGGGGCTGGACCCACTACTGGTGGCTACGGAGCAGGGTCATTTGGGCCAGCAGTCCTGCCTTCCACAGAGTGGCCCTGGTGCTCTGGGGGGTCCTCTCCCTGCTGGGGTGGGGGCGCGGAAGTCGGGGCACACCCACCACCTGCATTCCTGGCCCCTTTTCTCACGTTTTGTCCCCTGTGGGCCATGAGGGCAGAGGCCACACACTCTGCTCACTTATGTATTTCAATTCAGAGAGGTGCCCCGCCCTCGGCATCGGCCCCTCTTCCTGGCTTGACCCCAGGCAGGAGCCCTGGTGAGCTGCCCCCTTCCTGCCTCTGTGTTCTCCGAGTGACATCCCAGGCTGACCCAAGGTGGGGCTGTGTTTGGTTTTTCTTCCCTGTTTTTAAAAAATCATGCTTGAATCCTAACCCAACATTTCTCGTAGGCCCCTGCAGCGAAGGCAGGCAGCCTGGCTCTCTCGGGACGCAGACTGTCACCGAGGGGAGGTGGCTGAGAGCCTGGGTGCCTGCTCTCCACTCGGTCTCAGTGGGAGTCCCCGGTGGGCTTGTGCTACCAGCAGGGTGGCGCCCGCGTAGATTCTGAGGGCAGGTGGGAGGACGAGGACTCCGGGGTTACAGGCACAGTGCAGCCCATGGGCCACCCACTGAGAAGTCGCGGCGCCCTCTGAGATACGGTCTCCATAGCTGGGAGTGGGCAAAGTGGGCGCCACAGGCCAGCCGTGAGGAGCAGAGAGAGCGACCGCTCTGGGCGTGGCGCTGCCACCGTGGGGCCTGGCGGGTCACCCCACTCGTCTGCGCCAAACTTCCTGTTGGATTTGATCGAAGTGATAGAGAAATCGTGTTTAGAAAGTCTCGAGTGAGGCCACAGGTCCAATCAGGGAAAACAGCGGGCCCTGTGGCAGAGACCCAGGGAAAATCACTCCTGTGTTTTGCTGGGTGGGTTTGGTTTTGTTTTTGTGTTTATCTCCCTGTTTCTAAATAACGATGTGACTTTTTATTTTGAAGCTTTGCACAATATGCACCAACTTTCCACCTTGAAAGAGGATTCAGTTCTCCTCCGGCGTCCTCCCCCGGCACTCCCCTCGCCGGAGCAGTGACGGTGCCGTTCCCTCTCTGGAGGGTCGTGGCCATGGCTGACATGGCCGTGTACCTGTGAGCGTCACTCACGCCGCACCTTGGGCCTCCTGCGCCTGCGTTTTCTTCCCTGGCAGCTCCATTCTTCCGGGACACGACAGTTCTCCCCCGTCCCGGCTCGGTTTCCCAGGCAGGCGCGACGCCTCTGCCGTCCGCTCCGGCTCCACACGCTCTGGTCCTCCCTGGAGCCTGCTGTGTCCAGGAGCCCCTCAGCACCCCGGGCCTCTGCCACCCGGTGGGGCTGTCCCCCTTTGCCTCGATCGTGTCCTGGTAGGGGGGAATCTCTGTGCCACACGGGCTCTGGGGACGGCACCACCATGGGGGCCAGCGCTGTGAGTGACACGCATGTCCTTGAGCCCCGGCCTGGTCCTGGGTGTGCTGGAGCTGTGAACCTCCCTTCTCTAGGCTCTAAATTTCCGTGGCAGTGTCTGGGCCTTTCTGCTGTTCTCCTTCTATTCTGTGGCAACGCGGACAGTTTGGTCGGGAGTGTATGTCTTTCTGTCCAGGCTAAGTTCGTTTATTCCTGTTTCCTCCTGCTTATTTCCTCACTTCCATTTTCTCTCCTGTGTCTGTCTCTCCTGCTAGTTACCAGGGGCCTCCTGGCCCGAGCTCAGTTTGTTCCTAGTCCTCTTGTTCTCCAGCTCCGGTCTCCCTGCTGGTCCCCAGGAGGCCTCAGTGTCACCTCCTGTTCCCTCTGTCGGGTTTTCCGTCTTGCTGATTTCTCCCCATCGTCTGGACACCAAATCCCCACCCTCCGGCCCTCTCCCCCCGGTCAGCTCCCTGCTCCCCCAGGGGTTGGCTCCCGCCTCAGTGCATGTCTCAGGGTTCCCCAGGGTCCTCGGGGCCCTGCCGCGGTGGGCGCCTTGCAGCTGCTGAGTGGTGGCTCTGTCTCTGTAGCCTGCACATGCAATGGCTCTTGCCCGTCCTCTGGTGGCCGACAGAAGGATGCATGTGGTCCCCACGATCAGCCCCCCTGAAACCTCCTGGGCCCCAGCCCCACCCCCAGCCTCTGGCCGTCCCCTCTCCTTTCAGGTCACCCTCCACCCCGGCTCCAGGCACTGAGGCAAACCAAGTGCAGACCACCATGGACCCCCTCCCTGCCATGAAGGCCCACCTGCGCTCGTCCTCCCGGCCCCTCCCCACCTGCGGTGGCTGCACAACGGCCACCTCTGCTCTCGCTGCGCCGAGCCTTCTGCTCTGTCAGCCGAGCGCAGACAGCACTTGCCTAAACACTACGTAAGGCCTTACCTTCTCCAGGCCTGTGGCCCGTGAAGACCACTGCTGCCGGGCGGCCGTGGGGGCAGCAGGTGGACCTGGCGTTTCTCCACCTGCTCTCTGCCCGGCCCCGCTCGCAGCATCCTGGCCCCTCGTGCTCCAGGCATTGAGAAACACCCCCCAGAGGCCTCCTGTGCTGGCCAGCTGGGCTGCCACACCAGAGCCGCCGACAGGGCTGGGACAGCACGCGTCCTCGCGTCCTGCAGGCTGGGCATAGATCAGGGTGTGGCAGGGCAGGCGGCGTCTCCCCCTGTGCGGTCCTGTGTGTCTGTGTCCTGATCGCCTCTCCTCCTAAGGCCCCTGGCCACATGGCATTAAGGGTCACCCCACTGACCTCGGTTTGCCTTAATCACCTCTGTAAAGACCCAACCTCCACACTCAGACACATGGGGGCTGGGCTTTCACAGTGGATTCTGGGAGGCCCCTAGCACCTCTCTTCCTGCCCTGCATAAAGGGTCCACCTGGGTTGTCCTTGTCCCCGCGCAGCCTCATTGCTATGCAGAGGGGGCTGGTTTGTGGCTAATTTGTATTTATCGTGAGGCCGATGAGGTAACGACGGAGCCCTGACTGTCGGGTCCCCTGTGCAGCCCAGCCTCACAATCGGTGCCCAGAGTGTCTGCCTTGAAGGACAAGGGAGTGAGTGCGGGGCCTTGGAAGGGGGGACAGGGTGACAGCGATCAGCTCACCGAGCCTGATTTCTTGGGGCTCCAGGGCTGTGTGGCCCTGGGCATGTGGCAGCCAGGCTCCCACTCAAGGCTGTGACATCCTGCCCAGGCAGCCTGAGATGGGGGCTCCGGGCTCCTCTGGTCTGCTCAGGCCACATGGGTCCTCCACACCATCCTGGGCTGCCAACCCAGCCCATGAACCTGGCTCTGCCCCGGCCATGCCCTTGGTAGCATGGATGCTAAAGACTAAAGGACCCTGCAGGCCTTGTCCCCCCCTCTGCAGCACTCCCTGGGAAGAAGGAGGATGTGGGGTAGGATTCCCTTGGGGGGAAAGTGAGAGAGGCAGAGAGCGTGTGCTGGCCCCAGGTCTGGCTGGCAGATGGCAGGAAGGAGGCCCAGGTGACCAGCGAGCCCGAGCCCTGGGACACCGGAGACAGCTTTCAGGGCCACTGTGTTGCACAGCCCGTTGGCCAAGGCTCTCCCTCAGTTTGCTTGTGCAGGGAGCCTGCCTCATCCTGGGCTCTGCCGGGGACTAGGGTCCAGCACATGGGGTGTCTGGCAGGAACTTTGCCATTCCAGGAACTACACTGACTCACAGCTAAGTGGCTTTCTCTCTCTCAGCCTCAGTTTCCCCTTCTGTAAAATGAGAGCAATTGACCTTGCAATTCTGCTTTAGAGACTAGAAATGATTTACTGACTGCTTTGCGGGGGGGCCCAGCACACATAAAGCAACCACTGTGGGATCATGTGGAGCCCACGGCCCGTGGGGCTGTGACTTCCAGCACTCGGACCCTGGGATTCTTGTGCCTCCAGAACACTGAGGTCTGTCTGCAGTGTGCCCTCAACCGCAAGCTCTCCTAGGAGCCCCCGCTCCCTCGAGGGCTGGTGCCCAGGTCCCGCTAGGACATGGTACCACGTGGAGCTGTGTCCAGAGGGCACCACCCTTGCCTTGCAGAGCTCAGCCTTGTCCAGCCTGCTTACCGGGGCTTGGCGGACGCTCCCTCCAGGGCTCCAGACACCCAGGCCCCCTCCAGAGCCAGGGCCCGGCCACGCGCAGTGCCACGACTCACTTTTGTGGCAGGCAGGCGGGCGGGCAGGCAGGTGCCGGGGTACGAGGGGCCCCGCCCCAGTGCGCTGCCAGCACACACTTGCCGTACCTTTATTGCACATTTACCACATTGCAAACTATTCCAAGAAATGCTACGAAGGCAAGCCTACTGCTGCGGCGCACGCGGGCCCTGCGCCGTGTCCACACCACCGTCCAGAGCAAGCCCGGAGGCTGGGCCGCTGGCCGAGACAGACAAGTGAGTGACTGGTCCTTTCGTCACCTGAAACCCACATTCGAGGATTCGTCCCTCGACACGCAGGCCGTGCCGTCCCTCGGGCCCCTCCGGCCCTGTAAGTGCTGAGGACGTGGGACGGAGAAGAGTCTTTATTTTAAATTAGGTCTGGGCCGGGAGAGCACTGGCAGGTGGATTTGCCGTGAGGGGCCCCGGAGCCCGTGGGGAGGACGGTTCTCTGTCAGTTGTGCAGGTGACCTGTGTCTGCATATGCGCCTGTTGTATACACATCCACCGTATATAAATACAGAATAGTGAATGAGGCGTCCTTTCCCGACAAAAGGGACGGAGCACCCCGCCACCAGCCGTCTCCGCCCTCGAGCACAGACAGCGCTTCCTTCCCAACCTCTCCTGGTCTCGAAAGCTGGCACAACGTGCGTGACCCATCAGACCCTCCGAGGAACGACCCCAGCCGTCCAGGGCCGCAATTCACAGCGTGGGGACCGTCCGTCCAGTCTCTGAATTCACTGAATTCACGACGAGGCGCGTGGGGTTCCCTGAGCCCCGTCCGTCTCCTCTCGTCCAGGCAGGCGGGGCGGCAGCCGGCGGGTCACTACCTCGCGGAGGCGGCTCTGTGCTCGGCGTCCAAGTCGTCCTCCACCACGCCGCGCAGCCCGTCCCTCTCGATGCAGTCGCGGACGGCCTGCAGCACGATGCGCAGCCGCCGGTCCAGGGCCTCCAGGTGTGGCTGGTACAGGACGGGCGCCACCTGGTCCTTCTGCAGGGACTCCACCATCAGCAGGCTCAGCTTGTACTCCTCCCTGGCCAGCAGCTGCAGCCGCAGGTAGGTGGACTTCCTGATCCTGGGGAGGAGAGACGGGTCAGGCCTTCGCGGGAGAGAGGGAAGAAGCCTGGCCTTTGGAAATGGGGCAAGGAGGAGAGGGAGAGACAGAGATAGACAGAGACAGAGAGATGCACAAAGGGACTAGAGATCAACTGCCCCCTCGGCGCCAAGCTGTGGGAGCTGCCAGGCCACTGCCTCTCACCTGCACAAGGGATCAGGGTGCCACCTTGCAGGAGCGGGTGGCCTCTGTGCCACCCAGAGGGGCCCAGCGGGAGGATCGACAAGGATGCCTGCTCACTGTCCCCAGCCTAGCTCGTCTGTCTGGGCAGGCGTCTCCTTAGAGAGGCACAAGCCAAGGTGGCCCACAGGCCTATGTCCCCAACCGCAGCAGGAGGGAAGCGGGTCAGAGAGCCCCGCAGAGGGACCAGTCTGCAGCCACGGCCAGGAGAGCGGGACTGTGCGTGCTCCCTGCACATGGGACGTCAGCACTGTCCAGGAGCTGAGGCGTGACGGGCTCCGTCTGGACAGACCCAGGGGGTGCACGGGGTGTGTGAGCCCCGTGCAGTGGGGTGAGTCTGCCTTTCTTTTCTCGGTGTGACAGCCAGGGCAGGGCAGGCTCTGGCCTCATCTGTCCCTGCACAGGGACGGGCAGGGGGTGGCCGGCAGGGTGGAGGCTGTACCTGCAGCACTGCTGTAAGGGCACCAGGATGGAGAGCTCGTCGTGTGAATACTTCCCAAACCTGCCAGGAGGGAAGCAGAGTCATCCAACGGCCACGGCAGGTCCCCAAGGGGATGCGGGAATGGGAGGCTGGCTAGCATGTCCAGTCCCCCAGTGTGGGGTCCTGACCCCCCGTCTAGGCCAACACAGCTGTGTCCAGACAGCATGGGGGGCCGCCAGCCCACGTTTAGCCACGGGAGCGTCTCTCACAGTGGCGCACAGTGGCCCACGCACAAACTATCCAGGTGCCCGAAGCTGCCCGTGCAGGCACCCACAGCTGGCGTGGATGTCCTCCGCCTGCGTGGCTCACTTCCCTGCCTTGTTAATCGGGGCCACCAGGGTCTCCCGCAGGGGCAGGGAGGATGTCTGTCCGTGGCTGATGGTGCCAGGTCCTGCGTGCAGGTGGAGGCCGTCGGCCCCACCCGCCCTGCTCTCCTTAGCCAGCAGCCTCTCCAGACCTGTTTCCCCGGTAACAAAGGCTTACTGTGAGATGGGGAAACCCAGCGCTCCCGGGTGGCCCTCCCTGCGTCTCGCACTGAGATGGGCCTTTGGGGCCATGCAAGTCCTCCCCCGCTGTGGGCTGCTCCCCTGGGTCTGGGCGAGGCGGTGGCCAGCTGCTCGAGGGTCTGTAGCAGGAGCAGGCTCACCCTCTGCCGTTGTCCAAGTGGATGATGAACGTCTCGTTCCCAAACTTCTCAAAAGTCTCGTAGTGGTGGCGGTCCATGTTTCCTGTGGGGACAAGCAGGAACGGCGGCAGCTCAGAGGCCTCTGCTCTCTGCAAAGTGGCATCTTCCCTCCCTCCCGGAACAGGGCCTCTGCGCCGTAATAACACAGCGAAAGCAGGGACCCCAACCCTAACCCCTCCTCGGACCACGGGCCCGTGGACAGGTCGCACCGGGCAGCTGCCCACCGCAGAGCCCTGGGTGTCATCTGGTCTGTGCAGGGTCCGTGGGAACCCACACGCCTCGTGCACATGGGGCGGCCGGCACGGCCGCGGGACGTACCCATGAGGAAGTCGAAAATGGTCATGTCCATGATGTCCAGGACGCGGTGGCGGCTGTCGTAGGGCGGCGTCTGCTTCACCTCCTCACAGTAGTCGGGGTCCACCTCCCACCTGCCGGGAGCCGAGTGAGGCGTCTGTGCGTGCCTGCCCTGCCACCTTCCGGCCCGTGGCCGCCGGCGATCCCACACCCCTGCCAAGCCCGTCCATCCCCTGTTCCCTCACTGGGGGGACAGAAGCCAGCCCCACCCCTGGGGCCCGCAGCCCCCGCACTCACTCGGCCTTCTTGCGCTTGTGGTAGGAGCGCCGCCAGGGGTTCCGCCACGTCTTCCTCTTGGCCAGGGACAGGTCGGGCAGGAAGGCGGCCAGCGAGCCCTCTATCTGGTCTGGCTTGCCGCACAGGGCGTGCTCGGTGGAGCAGTAGTAGGAACACTCCCCGTAGAAGCAGATGTTGTTGGCTGTGGGGCAGACCTCCGGTCAGGTCACGGGGGCCACTCAGGGCACCCTCCAGGCAGCCCCTGCCCAGAGCTTCTGTCCAGGCCAGAGCAGACACCCAGGGTCGCCCACCACCAGGAGGCAGAGCTGGGGCCTGAACCTGCTGCTTTCTACTCAGCCTCTAAACTCAGGGACTGGAGACTATGGAAAATCCAGATTCAATGTTCAATGGCTTAAAAAAATGCACCGATACCATAAAAACCATGAAGACACAACCCACAGACTGGAAGAAAGTATCTGCAAGTCCTATGTCTGACGAGGATCTGGGAGAGCTAAAGAACTCTTGCAATGCACTCGAAAGACAAGTAACACAAGCAATAAATGGCAAAGGACTTGAGTGGACGTGTCGCCAAGACAAATAAGTGTCCAACAGGCTCATCGGGAAATGCAAACCAGATTCACGAGGAGATGGCACCTCACACCTGCCTAGGTGGTTTTGATGAAAAGAACAGATAACAGCAGAGTTTGGTACATTCATCTGAAATACCTACGAGGAACGAGCTTTTAGGTTGAGTTTTTATGAGCCAGCAAATCAGGGGCCTTGAGTGGATTTTATCTGCATGAATTAGGGGCAGGTGGAGAGGCGCTGAGGCCCCCGTGTTGGGAGCGATCAGAGAGCATTGCTCCCATGGCAGGGCCTGCGCTTTGTGGGGTTTCCCTGGTGGCTGTGGGTCATTTCATTCCCTTTGGCCTGGCGTTGCTTGGACCACATGCCAGGTTTAAAGCAAGCTGGGGCAGGTAACTGAGAGCATCGGCTGTGTCTCCGTGCGCACGTAGGCGTGTCAGGAGAGCCCGAGAGGTTTTTATAAACATCAGCACCCAGCAGATGTGTGTATTTCCACTACCAGGCTCATTCTCAGCTTGCCCCCCACCCAGGCACCCACCACCCGGTGGAATCGAGCAAGGGGAGGCCACCCGGCCCCAACTACTCGAGGAGGGTCATGTGGGGGTGTTTTTAAGCCTGGGGGGGAGGGTCCCCCCTGGTCATGTCATGCTACCTGGAGAAGACTCCCTGGAGAGGCTGGGAAGTTCCAAAAGTGAATCATTTTGCCTTTTAAAATAAACAAAGGGTAGCAGTAGCCTCCCCGACAGCACAGGGGATTGGAGAGAGGATCACTGCATAGCCAGTCTGGCAGCCCTAAGCCTGTGTGCCAGGCCACATGTGGCCGTGGAAGGGGCACATGAGCCTCCTTGGCAGGGTGGGAGCAGCTCTGCACCTCTTGAGCAAGGAAGCCCCAGCCCCCAAGTCCACTAATCCGCTGGGGCGGGCCGTGTGAGGCTACCTGGAGAGATGAAGAAGGTTCTCCACAGCTTCTTGTCCCGCGTGACGTCCCGGATTTCCCTGGTCATGTTGACCATCCTGCCGGCCACGGGAGGGACCCGGCGGAAGTCCAGGATCCTGGCGAGAGAGAGGCAGAAAAGGGCGTCTGTGCTCCGGGGCGGCTCCCGGCAGCAGGTGGGCTGCACCGCGCCGGTCTCCCCCTCCTTTAAACCCAGCGCCAGGATCCCCAGTGATGGGGCAGAAATGCACCCCAGAAGGGCGGAGCTGGCCATGATTCAAGGACTGGTATCGCTGCCCCTGTTTCGGGCTGAATTTAAAACACAATTAAATCAACCCCTTTTAATGGGACTCTCTCTGAACTGTGTTGCCGCATGCTTAATTACACGAGAGGCGGGGCGTGGGCTCTTCTTGCTGACACAGGACGTTGTGATGGCCCCGCACAGTGTCCTCCATGGGGGCTGGCTGGGCGTGCCGGATGGAGGCCACCCATGCTCAGCACGGAGCACCAGCCACCTCTGCCCCAGGCAGGCTCACCAGCTGTCCCACTTCATGCACAAGCCATCCGAGGGCTCCACGGATCCCGATGAGTGACCCTCACCAGCTCCGTGGCCACTATTTATCTTTTCACAGAAAGGCCCATTTCTGGATTCGGGCTGTTTCTGGATAGTTGAAAATGTTGACTCCTGGGGATTTCTGTAGTTGTCACGTAAGATTTCCATCTCACAAAAAGCTTCCAAACTTCAGTGTCACTCTGCATTCTAACCAGCCCCAGGAGAGGCCAGCCCTGCTGGCCTCGGCCGCAGCCTGGGCTGAGATGCTGTCCGGTCAGGATCCCAAGGTGCAGGCCAGGGGCGCCTCCCCTCCGCTGTGCCTGGGGCGTCTCTCAACCCTCTGGACCCTGCGAACCAGGGTCGAACCTGAAAACTGCCCCTCAGCACAGAACGCTGAGCCCCAGGGGTGCCAAGACGTCCACGCACAGGGTCGCCTGCCGCCCCTCCCCCTACAAGGGCCAAGCGGAGCCTGAGGATGAGTCCACGTCCTGTTGGGCCTCTCACCACGGACACTGAACACCGCTGCCTCCAGGCAGCCTGCTTTGGTTACTGCTTCTCTCTCCACCCTCCCCATCCTCTTTCCCTCCCCTGTTACCGCTGCCTGCAGCTGCCCTCTGTGCGGCACCGTCACAGGTGCAGGAGGGAGCCTGACTGATGGCAAGTGCCTCGAGGACAGGGCGTCTCCCGCTGCATGAGAGGCATGGTGGGGAGCGTGGGACTCTGGGAAAATAGTTTCTCACAGTGCCTCTGTTTTCCCATCTGTGAAATGGGCACAGATGGTGTCTACGTAGAGTGCTGTGAGGGCTGAAGGACTGAGGTACATACCGTGCCCCAAACAAGACAGCCGCTGGGAGAAGGTGCCCAAAGTGTTGCTGTCACTGGACGCTGCCGTCCCCCGCCCAGAACGGCCTATGGCTCAGGGAGGAGCCCAGAATGGATCTGAGTGAAGGACATGTGACCCCTGCGCTGGCAACAGTCCTCAGGGGGAGCGGGGGGAGGAGGCTCACCTGTCAAGGTGGAGGCTCACCTGTCAAGGTGGAAGGCGGCGATCTCCGCATTGTGCCTCTCGTAGTCAGAGAAGTAGAAAAAGTCGGGGGGTGTCTCCTGTTCCCTCGTTTGCCTACAGAAAATGGGACAGAACCGGGAAGAGTTTGTCACCAAGACAGCCCCAGGTACAGGGTGTGTGCCCTGGTGTGCTGGCTCCAGCTCCAACCAGCTTTCGAGACCCATCTGTTAAATTTCCAATAATTCTGCAAACCATTTAAACACAGTCATCATTAGACGTTAACTTACATGAACCTACAATTAAACGCATTATAGTTTAACAGTGAAAGGTACTCAAGTCTCATCTCTTTCCAGTTGGCTTGTTTGCATCCCTCGATCCGCGAGCACCTCTTCCCAACTCCTCGCTGGTGGCCCCGCCACACCGGCCATGGAGGGAGACCTTGCCCCACAAACCCGCAAACTCCGTGACTCAGGCCTGTCCCCTGGAGCTGGTTACCACGTGTCCACCACCCCACCCCCTCCCCCGTCCGTGCCACCGCCCGACCCCTCAAGGCTGTTGGGCAGAAACCACTCTAGCCTCAGAGCCCAGACATGTGGCTGAGCGTGGCCGCGGGAGAGGGGAGGACCCACCCTCGGCTGAGCAGGGGGCACCTGGGGGCCGGTGCCAGGCACGACAAACTGTCCCTCAAACCGCCCTTAGCCGTCCCCTGGAAGGGAGCGACCCCCGGCAGGACGTGAGGGAGGCTAGGGCTTTCTGCCCATGTGAAGTGGACAAGAGGGACCCAGGTTCCCAGCCTGCCCGCTTCCCGCCCACAGGGGTACCGGCCGCCAGCCTGCTCAGCCTTCCTCCGTCCCCTCCCGGACTCCAGTTGTGACCAGCTGCTGTTTCCCACGCTGGTCTCTAGTCCTCCATGCTCCTGTCTCTGCTCACACTGTTCCGCCTTCCTGAACACCCTTCCTGTCACGTCTCCAGAAGGCTAAGTCAGCATTTCTGAATGCGTGTCCCTTGGAACTGGGCCCAGGACCTTCCAGCACACAAGGAGTCCCTAAGTCATGGGACTGGCGGATGCGCTGCCAGGGGCCTGAGCCCCATGAGCTGCTCTCGGAGGTGCTGGCTTCTCTTGGGGCCACCCCACGGCCCACCCGCTGCCCAGTGGGACTCTCGCTCCCAGCACCCAGGCCTTGAAACCTGGTGAGGGGGGCACTTCTGTGACGAAGGAAACCTGGACGCCATGCACCCCCACCTCACAGATGGGAACACCGAGGCCGAAGGGGAGGGACATCCTCGGAGCCCCCTGCTGCTGGTGCCAGGACCCAGCCCAGGGCTCCCGCCCTTGGGGCTCCGTCCATTAGCGCAGCCCGCAGGCCGAGTGCTTGGTGGTGCTGGCGTCAACCCGGCCCTGGCCAGATGGAGGGTCCGAGCCGGAGGTGAGAGGTGCCCAGTTTCACTTCCTATCCCTGTCCCACTGCCGAGGTCCTGCTCACACAGTCCCTGGACTTTGTGTGGGCCTGGGCTGGGGGAGCCAGCCCACCCGAGACTGAGCCAGGACCATCAGGCCGCCCAGCCCAGGCCCCCTCTCAGAGGATGGGGCCGGGGGCCCCAGGATGCAGAGCAGGACGGCGCTGGTGGCGGCTCAGGTTAGCCAGGGCTGCCCAGAGAGGGCGGCACGGAAGCAGCGGGACCAGCACCCAGGGGAAGGAAATCTGCATTTAATCAGGAAAACAGGCCGGCGGACGCCAATCTCCCCGGGCTTTCCTCACCAGTGATTTAGACGTCCACGTGCACGCACACAGGCCTGGCCCCGCCGGCCTTAGCTGGACTCTACTGAGTCTTACTCAAACCCCAGGTTTCCTCGGCCCCCACTGCAGCGGCCTGAGACCACCTGTACCTTCCCCTACAGTGGCGGAACCCGTCTGGTCTGCTGAGAAGTTTTCTCGTCTGTAGAAGGGGTGACGCTCCGCCTCTCCTCTAGGTCCCTGAGCCTTCAGGACGGCGGACACGGCTGCAGGCGGGGCTGGCAGAGTAGCTCAGAAGCTTCGCCCGTCCCCGAGCCCAGTGTCCTGGCGGGTGCGGGCTGGGCCCTCTGTGTGCACCCCAGCACCGCCCTCCTTCCCTGGGCTTCTGCAGCCCCCCAGAAGGGCCTCAGGACCCCCAGGCAAAGTGGGCACAGACAGCCCAGGGCAATGTGGCACCTCCCTGTCCCTCTCCCCCCCGCCAACAGCTTGGAGCCACATGCCGGACTGCTTCTGAAAGGTCAGCACCATTCTCTGAACCCTGAAGGTCTCCCTTATCTCAGGCTCCGGAATGTTCAACAAACTCCAGGGGAAGCAGGGACACTCTTAGGTCTCTACACACGCAAGCATCTGGCCTTAAAAACTCGGAAATGTTAACCTATCGTTGTGCAAAGTCACGTCTCACAGCAGAAGTCCTTCCTGAGTGAAGTCTGCATCCACTCTGTGTCCCTGCCGCCACCTGCAGGGGACAGTGCACCCCAGGAGGTCCTCCCAGGCCAGGCCCAGGGTGGGAACTCAGCCCTTAATCCAATAAGAATTTGCCAGAATCAAAAGCTGGTGTCCTTCCCAGGTGCTGGGAATCACAGATCAGGCCGGGCCCCACACGTGGCCCAGCCCAGGCTTCCCATGCAAGGTGCGGCCGTCCGCTCTGGGCCTGAGTGACAGCTCCCGAGCCTCCATCTCGGGACACTCCCCGCTAACCCCTCCTGCCTTCGGCCTCCCTGGCCTGGGTCCTTCCTTCCAAACGTGCAGCTGAGGTTAGGGTTAGGGTTAGCCGAGCCCCTCTGAGCTCCCAGCCCCCACCACCAGCCAACGTTATGGCCAAACAACTGGGCTGGCTCACAGTACGCGGTGGTGGGTTCCTTCCCGGGGAGGTGCTTTGCCCCTGGGGCAGGACCACGTCCAGGCCTCGGGCCCATCCAGCCCCGTCAGCCGGCACATGCCTCCCTCCCCGGGTTCTCAGAAAGCCGTTGCCAGCTCTTCTCTGAATTCCCTGGACGTTACTTGCCCCCATAAAGGACATCCGCCAGCCCTTCTGGGAACCAGTTTGGGATGCTGGCACGCAAGGACAGACTCTTTGTGACACGCCATCCTCGCCTTGACAGGACTCTGGTGAGGAAAGGCTCTGGCCTTGCACCCAGCCCCGTGTGAGGCCAGAGGGCCGTCCTCGTTCTGTTAAGAGCAGAATGCAGGTGCCGCACCGATGCACAAGGGACGCTTTCACTCAGTGACCTCGCCAAGCCTGGGGTCGTGGCTGTGGCGCATTTTCACCATGGCCAGGGTGGAGGAGGCTGCTGGTGACAGCAGGTGTGGCCGCACACGGAACGTGCGTGGACACCTTGCCCACGACAGCCCTGGAGGCGGCTGCCCCTCCTCACCCTCTGGGGCTGGAATCTGGGCCGGGCGGGGTCAGTGGCAGAGCCGAGCAGAGCTGAGCTGTCAGAGGGGTCTTGGCGAGAGGGGTTGGGACCCCGACCCTCTGATTTCTCCCGTCATAGCCTTGCAGAGGGCTGGGGCAGAGCACCAGTGGCCGAGGAAGATGGAGTTTGATTTCCTCAGAGGAGCAACTTGCCGACTTGAGCAAACTGCACTAACCCGTCATTAAAGCACATCCCACCTGGCAGCTGCTGCCCAACCCCACGTCCTGCTGGTGGGCCACGGGCGGCAGGCAGACAATGGGGGGCAGCTGTACACAGCCCTGCTCTGGGGCCAGGCTCCCCCACTCCAGCCCAAGCCCTCTGGGCAGTGCTGGCACCAGCAGGGCAGACCCAGGGCGACAGCAGGAGGGAAGCAGGACCAGCCCTGAGGGCAGAGGAAGAAAGAGGCTGCCAATCGTCCAACCCCTTGAATCCACAGGGTAGGGGACAGTCTAACCCCCAAACCCACCCCTGCCCTTCACACCCTCACCGCAGCCCGAGGCTACTCCTCACTCCCTCTGGAACACTGCTCAGCTCCCCTGCACCTGCCCACCTCACCCTGCTGCCCCCTCCCAGGGAGGACATGCTCAGGCACGTGCCCAGGTCCCCGGCCTCCACATGTGTCCCCACCTGTGCCCCACCTGTACTTCCCCCCACCCCAGCTCTGCCCTGATCTGTCCCAGCCCCGTGGGGCCTCCCCTGGTGGCCCAAGACAGAACACAGCTGCCCCCAGGAGCACGTGGCACGCGAGACACTGGGCGGCATTGTTTGCCAGACTTGGGGGAAGGGCCTGGGGGCAGGAGTGTTCTGTCCTCAGGATCTGTGCCCAGCCAAGCGCTCGCTTCAGAGCCAGTGTTTCATGACAAACGAATGAATGGGGGATTGAGGGAGGACGCTCAGAGAGGGCCCAGATCTGTCTGCAGCCTCCAGCCCTAGCTTCCCACTTCTTCAACCTGTCACCACTATCACCACCATCATCATCACCATTGTCACCACCATCACCACCATCACCATCACCACTGCCATCACCACTGTCACCACCATCATCATCATCACCACCATCATCATCACCATTGTCACCACTGTCATCATCACCATTGTCACTACCATCACCATCATTGTCACCACCACCATCACCTCCACAGTCGCTGCCACCATCTCCTCATGAATTCATGCTGAGCTCACTGCCAGATGGACAGTGACAATATTTGTGACGCTATTATAAAAATCGACCAATTCTATCTGCCAGCAACTTGGCCTTTGTTTCTCCCTCCCTTGCCCCTGCCTACTGCTCTATGCAGTTCATACACCTGGAGTCCAGGTGCTTCCAAGACCTGCTGCTCTGAGAAGGGTCCAGGTACTTCCTCAAGGCTGACCTAGTTCCAGAACAGTTCCTAGTTCCCACCTCTCACACATCAGGGCTTTCCAAGGACTTACCTCCTTTGGCTGTTCAGGGAACTAGCAGCCGAACCCCCAGGTGTCCCCACGATCAACCCAGAGATGCAGCCTCCAGCCCAGGAGCCAGCGTGGGAAGAGCAGCCTGTAGCGTCAGAGCCTGAGGGGCACCGTGTCCACTAGGAGCCTCCAACAGGAGAGGGGTCTTGCTCCGAATCAGGGGGCTGGTCTGCTTCACCCTTTGGAGACCCTGGGTACCACAGCCAAAGCCCCCACATCTTGCCCAGGC